TGGTCTACAGAGCAAGTTCCAGGACAACCAAGACTACACAGAGAAACCCTATCTCAAACAACAGACAGACACACAGATAAACAAAAAAGCACAGGTAGGCCATCTCTGAGCCACACATTTGGGTTGCAGAAAAACTCCATGGTTACCCACCATCCTTCTGGGACTAAAGCTGCTCATTGTTACTGACTTTGGGGTTCAGGGTTCAGCAGTGTGGGAGTGCTTGGAGATCATTTAATCCTCAACAGTATCGACGTCTAATGGGAAAGAAGTTGGGGGTGTAACTCAGTTGGCACAGTACTTGTCCAACATGCACAAATCCTCAGGTTTAATCTCTAGCAACACAAAATCTTGGGTATGGTAGCCTGTGCCCGTGAGAACCCCAGCACTCCAGAGGTGGAGGCAGGAAGATTAAAAGTTCAAGGTCATCCTCAGTTATGTATGGAGGCCAGCACTGGCGAAGTAGAACAAACTAATATATATATATACCCATAATCTGCAAGTGGTGAAAGAGGCCCAGCAAATTGAAACAGCATGCCCCGTTCTGTACATCTAGTTAATGGTCAAATCTGGCTTGTATATTAACTCTCCTTATTCCTGATTTACCTTAATTCACACCTTTTGCCTTAATGTGAATGCCCTAAAGTCGAAGGGAAGAGTCTGACTCAGCCGGTATCCTTGTGCCCACTGAGCACACTGTGCCTGATCCTCTGCTGGATTCCAGTGAATACAGAGGCATATTCCTGGAAGTGGGAGGGCACTGGGGAAGGGAGCAGGTTAGAGCAGGGGCGCCAGCCTATCTGGAGTCAGGTAAAGGTACTGTCAGATAAACAGGGTGGGGCAAAGTGGAGCCCTGGAAAATCCAGACTAGCCCTGTACAACTGCATTCTGTCTCCTTTAAGTGTCACCCCTTTGAGAGCAACACTATGTGACTCAAAGTTTACAGTCTTGGAATCAGCCCTGCATTTGAATCCTAGTTATGGCATGCTATTCATAACCCATCAGTGGCTTGCTATTTAATTAAAATCTCATTATAATTGCACTAGGTCATCTATAACCTGGCTTCTCTCTACTTTTTTGGCCAACACTTATCTCTTGCTCACTTAGCTCTAGCACCCTGGCCATACCACACACCACTCCTTTTGTTTTGAGGACTTTGCCCTAGTTAATTACTCTGTTTACCTGGAATACCCCTTCCCCTAGGTGTATTGCTTCCTCTTGCATTTTCTTTAGATCTGTGATCATTGTCTCCTTATCTGGCCACCACCGTGTGACTACCCCCTGCCTACCCCTTCACCCCCACTTGAATTTATTTTTTGTTTTTTTTTATATTTACTTTTATATTTTCTCACCTCCTGGTGTGTGTTTATTATCCACCCTTGAGAACTCCACAAACTTCCTGAAGCAAGTGCTTTCAGGCATCTAGGACCTGAGTGTCTTCTGCTCATACGCAGCAGGAGGATGCTAACAATTTAGCATTGATTAGGATCTAATAAGAAAACACCAAGTAGTGTTCATGTCTGCCCCTTCCCTCTTTTTGAAACAGGGTTTCATATGACTGAGGCTGGTTTAAAGAGGATGACTCTAAACTCCTGCTTTGTCTAGTTTTGTATGGTGCTGGTGATTGAACTCAAGGCTTTACGAACACTCAGCAAGAACTCTACCAACTGAGTACATCTCCATCCCTAATGCCTGCCTTTCATAAATCATTGTTACAGCATCCAGTCGATAACTTTAGTGTTATCTTAATTCTCATTTAATTTGGATAAGGGCCATCTACATGATAGTGATGAAGAAAAATGGTTATTTGTGTTTTAGTAGAATATAGCAATTACAGTGCTGATGTTTTCCTATGGAATTATTGAGGTATAAGTAACCCCTACTCCAGCTACACTCTACTAAAGAGAATAGAATAGAAATATCTTGGGAGCCTTTTTTTGGGGGGGGGGGTTCAAGACAGGGTTTCTCTGTGGCTTTGGAGGCTGTCTTAGAACTAGCTCTTGTAGACCAGGCTGGCCTCGAACTCAGAGATCCGCCTTCGTCTGCCTCCCGAGTACTGGGATTAAAGGTGTGTGCCACCACCACCTGGCTTATTTTAGGAGTCTTGTCAAAAGCTGGATTGCTTGGTCATGTTTTTTGGGGACAGGATTTCATGTAGTTCAGAATGGCCTCGGATTTGATATATAGCTATCTTAGTTAGGATTTCTATTGCTATGAAGAAACACCATGACCATGGCAAATATTATAAAGGAAAACATTTAATTGGGTGGCTTACAGTTTCAGAGGTTCGGTCCATAATCATCACGGTAGGATGTGGCAGCTTGCAGGCAGACATGGTGCTGGAGAAGGAGCTGAGCATTGTACATCTTGACCTGAAGGCAATAGGAAGTGGTCTAAGACACTGGGTGTGGCTTGAGCATATATGAGACCTCAAGGCTCTTCTCTATAGTGACACACTGCCTCCAACAAGGCCACACCCCCTAATAGTGCCACTCACTATGAGCTTATGGGGGCTAGTTACATTTATACCACAATGATAGTCACAGCTGGCCTTGAACTCATGATCCTCCTGCATCTAGGCATGTGCCACCAGCTCAACTTTATTTTTTGAGAAAGGGTCTTGCTGTATAGACCAGGCTATCCTTACCCTCAGTATATAGACCAGACTGGCCTTGAGTTCATAGTAGTCTTTTTGTCTTATTAGCCTCTTGAGTGTTGGGATAAGCATGTGTCACCACATTGGGCTTAACATTTTGATATTTTCAAGGACACCATTACTGAAATGTGAATTTGGGGCGTCTGTCTGTCCGTCCGTCCGTCCGTCCGTCCGTCCGTCCGTCCGTCCGTCCGTCCACCCACCCACCCACCCATCCATCCATCCATCCATCCATCAGACAGAGCCCTAATGGGATCTGGCTATCCTGGAACTCACTCTATAGATCAGGCTGGCCTCAAATTCAGAGAATCCACTTTCCTCTGCCATCAGAGGGGTGGGATTAAAAGCATGTGCCACTAAGACCAGCTAAGTGGTTTTTATTTGTTTGTTTGTTTTGCTTTTAATATATCCACTTACGTATGTGTGTGGGGGGCAGTGCATGTGTGCTACCCATTTGGATTTGGTGGTTGGAGAATGGAAGTTGTTTCTTTCTCCCAGTTGGGTTCCCGGGTTCAGACTCAGGTGTCAGACTTTATAGCAGGTGCCTTTACTCACTAAGCTGTCCAACTAGACCTAGACCCATTGAGTCTTAAACTTCAAACTTGGAGTAAGTGGATATCCTTTTTAGTTAGCTCTGGAAGCACAGTATGTGTGCCACCTGTATGATATTGACAGACAACAGCCCTGGCTTCCTCACTTGCTTCACTAGGCCTGTCCTTTTGTAGTCTGAGAGCATGACTGAAGCTTTGATGCTAATCCAGAGGGAATAGGAAAGGTGCTTGCTCACCGAGGACCTGTCTTTTGTCTATTGAAATTTGCTGCAAATTGAAAATATATGTTTTCTTTGTTTCCCCCCCCCCTCCTACTAGTTAAGTGAAGCAGTGAGAGTGGAGAAGGAACAAAAAATATCTGCAACTGGCTGTGATCAATCAATTGTCAACACCAGCCAGCGTGGTGGCACATGCCTTTAATCCCAGCACTCAGAAGGCAGAGGCAGGGGGATTGCTGTGAATTCATCTGCCTCTGGCTTCCTGGTACTTCATTCGGAGCAACCTAAAAATAGTCTATTAACAAGTTCTGTTCTTTAGATATTGTGAGTTAACATGGTGTGAGGTTCTGGGTTCAGTTCCCAAGGAGATAGATGGATGCGCTCGCAAGTGAGCGCCCACACACCCCTATCCTCCACCTTAGTAAATCTTCCTCCACCTTTCCTGGCAGCTAGAGAAAGAATATAGAAAGCAAGACAAGAAGAAATCAAGGGCTCTGTCTGTTGCAGAGACTAGTGAGGGACAGGAACAGGAAGGTTGCAGGCAGACCAGTATTAACATATTCCCTATTGATAGGCCTAGACCTCTTTCTACTGGGCCAGGCAAGATTAGATGTGGGAGGATTCAAACATGAGCATTCCCAGGCTACCAGATAGCTAGGAAAAGGAAAGGGCTGAACAAAACTGTATTTGGCTGTAATGCCATAGAGGAAAAAGTGCTCTCCATTGGAGTCTATATGCCTGGGATTGAATTTCTTACTGTGTCACCACTTACTGAGTGTGCACAGATAAGATATATGTATTGCCTCATATATCTATTTCAGACCATTGCTATGAAAGTTAGAGGGTGTGTATACAAATTAATAGAGTACTTGACATTAGAAGTACTTAGTAAGTGTTCACTTGTTACTAAAAATGTTCATTGTCTTTCTAAAAGAATTTGCTGTGTTTTTTTTTTTTTTTTTTTGAGACAGGATCTGATGAACCCAGGGCTTTATGTATACTAGGTAAACTCCCTACCAAGTAAACTATATCTCTAGCCCCCATGGAGTCCAATTGTTTGTTGCAAGCTGGTGTAGTGACTCACACTTGCAATGCCAAGAAAAATGTGATTTTTGTTTGTTTTGTTTTTCGAGACAGGGTTTCTCTGTGGCTTTGGAGGAACTAGTTCTTGTAGACCAGGCTGGTGTTGAACTCACAGAGATCCTCCTGCCTCTGCCTCCCAAGTGCTTGGATTAAAGGCGTGCGCCACCACCACCCATCGAAAAATGTGATAAAAAAAAGAATCAGGAATTCTCCCACTAGACAATTTATTCTCTCCCTTATGATCCCTTTGGGTTACTGGAAATAATTTTTCATAATACATGGTTGGAAATCCAACTAGACTAAATCATTGAAGTCTAACTTATAGCATGTCGAGACAGGAAGATACATAGGAGATTGAGGCCAGCCTAGGCTACAAATTGAGACTCTCTCAAAAAATCAAGTCAGAAGATGTAGTTGTTGCAGATTGTTGTAGCTTTGAGACTTTTCCAAAGGTGGTGAGTGTTTCCTTCTCTTTTTTGTGATACTGGGATGGAGCCCTGGGTCTTGGGTATATGCACTACCAAACTGCTGCCTTCCCAGTCCTAAAGGGATGAAATGTGTAATGTTATGGGACATCTAGAAGAATTGGTCAGTTCTTTGGAGCCGACAACACAAAACCACCTTCTGTTTAGTGATATACTTGTGGGAGAAGAGTGAACCTGGAAAGCCCTGTGGGGGAATGTGTCGTCAAGATTCTGGTCTTAGCCAGGTGGTGGTGGCACATGCCTTTAATGCCTGCACTCAGGAGCCAGAGGCAGGCAGATCTCTGTGAGTTTGAGGCCAGCCTGGTCTACAGAGTGAGTTCCAGGACAGCCACGGCTGTTACACAGAGAAACCCTGTCTTGAAAAATAAAAAAGAAAAAAAAAAAGTAGGGTTCTCATGATTAATGTGTTATTTTGTTTTGTTTTTTTAAATAAATCTTTTCCCCCTTCTTTCTAGCTGCTCAGATAAAGAATTTGATGAGCCAACTTGGAACCAAGCAGGACTCAAGCAAGCTCCAGGAAAATTTGTGAGTAGCTTCCTAACAGGGTTAAGTTTTGTGAGGGCTCTCTGAGGTCATAGTATCCTTCCACTTTGGATCTGTACGTCAGAACAGGAGGCAGTGGGTCAGGTGGTAATAGCTGGGCCTGAAGAGGGGAGCAAAGGGTATTAATGGATCCAGCTTTCTGAGGCCGTGAACTATTTCTTTTCTTCTCTTTGTGAGGTTTGCAGAGTAATTTAGGGAGGTAGAGAAGGAACTCTTCAGTTGTTTCAAGAAGCTGCATCAATGTTTCCCTGTCAATGACCCTCCTGTTGACACAGGACTCCTGACAATTTAGTCCAGTTGGATTTCCAACTCTAAATAAGAGAGACTCATTCTCACGGATGCAAAGTGACCATAAGTGAGAGAATAAATGGTCCAGTGGGAGAACTGATTTTTTGTTTTTGTTTTTGTTTTTTTTAAAGATCTTATTTATTACGTATACAACATTCTGCTTCCATGTATATCTGCACACCAGAAGAGGACACCAGATCTCATAATGGATGGTTGTGAGCCATCATGTGGTTGCTGGGAATTGAACTCAGGACCTCTGGAAGAGCAGTCAGTGCTCTTAACCTCTGAACCATCTCTCCAGCACAGTCACATTTTTCTTGACTTTATTTTTGCTTGTAAAGTTCTATTCTTGATCACTGGAGAGATGGTTCAGTGGTGAAGACATGGGTTCAGTTCCCAGCACTGAGATGGTGATTCACAACTGTCTATAGCTTCATTTTCATGGTATCCAACTCTCATTTCTGGCCTCTGTGGGCATTGCTCACATGTAGTGCACAGGCATGCATGCAGGCAAATCACCCATATACGTAAAATAATAAAGTAAAAATTTTATTCTCTGGGGCCAGCAGGATGGTTCAGCAAGTAAAGAAAAGTGCTTGCCATCAAGCCAGGGATCTGAGTTTGATTTTTGTAACTTATATAGTAGAAGGAAAAATCTAACTCTGGAAAGTTATTTCTAATGTCAGCATATTTCACATGCATCATGGCACCCCTGTGCCCACAAGCATACACACACACAAATGCACACACAGATAATAAACAAAAGTAATTTTTTAAAGTTTGATATGTGTGTGTGTGTATATATGTACATATGTTTATTTATTTTTTTCCCAAGACAAGGTCTCAGGCTGTCCTCAAACTCACAGAGATCTGCCTGCCTCTCCCTAGTGCTGGGATTAAAGGTGTGTGCCACCATCAGGTTCTCTATCTTTAAAGTCAACTGAGCTACATTACTCGTTTCCACTCTTAGACGCTGTGAAGTGAGAGAGTGACTGCTGTCACAGGGAGCAAATTCAGGGAGAGATGACCTGTCTGCATATGCTAGTGTTTCTGGGATGGTCTGGCTTCCTCTGCTGTCTCTCATGTTTTCTAATCCTAGCTGTCTACTTAAAGTGAAAAAAACGATGTGGTATCCCAGCCATTAAGGCTGCTGCAGTAATAGACCATAGACTAGATAGTTCATTAGCAAGCAAAATTTATTTCTTATAGTTCTCAAGGCTGAGGGGTGGTTGATCAAGGCTCTGGCATATACCGTGTCTAATGAGGGCCCTCTTTTTCATAGATAACATTTGGTTTTTGTTTTCCTTTTGGAATGGTCTTACTATCCTGCAGATTCATCTGCCTCAGTTACCTTAGTGCTGGGATTAAATGAGTATGTCCTTATGCTAGGCAGCTGATGCTTTCTTTTGGGGGGAGGGGAGACTGGTTTTGAGACAGGGTTTCTCTGTGGCTTTGGAGCCTGGCCTGGAACTCTGTAGACCAGGCTGGCCTTGAACTCACAGAGATCCTCCTGCCTCTGCCTCCTGAGTGCTGGGATTAAAGTGAGCGCCACCAAGGCCCAGCTAGTTGATGCTTTCTTATTGTATCCTCTCTTGGTGGAAGAGGTAAAGTAGTTAGTTCTCTGGTGCCTCGTAAGGGGAATTAATGCTTTCACAAAAGGCCCACACATGCTAATCACTTTCTACTACCTCCTAATAACATCACTTGGGGGCTAGTATTTCAACATGAATTCAGACCATAGCCTATGACTTCTCTGTCACCCCTTAAAATTTTTGTAGAAATGGCCAGAGATTAGAGGAAACCATGATGGGAAGAACTTTTTATTTATTTATTATTTCTAAAGCATCACTTTTTTTTTTTTCTTAGGGTTTCTCTGTAATTTTGGAGCCTGTCCTGCAACTTGCTCTGTAGACCAGGCTGGCCTCGAACTCACAAAGATCTGCCTGCCTCTGTCTCCCAATTGCTGGTTATCAAAGACGTGCACCACCACCGCCTGGCTCCATAGCATGACTTATATTTTATGTTCTTCCCTCTTGAATTTGCTTCTCTCTCCTTCCTTCCTTCTATCCTAGTATGTTGCAAACTGCTGGATTCAAATGCTGCTCCTATACCAGCCTCAGAGGAGCTGGGACTAGTGGTGAAGGCCACTGTACCCAGCATCGAGCTTCTTTATGTGTATTTTTTTATTGTGATTTTTTTTTTTTTTTTTTTGGTGTTAGATATTGAGCCCAGTATCTGGCACAAGAGGTAAGTGTTCTAAACAGCAGAGGGAAAAGCTATCAGGCATAAAATCCACTTTATTTATTTATTTATTTTGGTTTTTTGAGACAGGGTTTCTCTGTGTAGCTTTGGAGCCTATCCTGGCACTCGCTCTGGAAACCAGGCTGGCCTCGAACTCACAGAGATCTGCCTGCCTCTGCCTCCCGAGTGCTGGGATTAAAAGCGTGCACCACCAATGCCCGGCTCACTTTTTTTTTTTTTTAAAGATTTATTTATTATGTATACAATCTTCTGCCTGCATGTCTGCCTGTTGGCCAGAAGAGGGCACCATATCTCGTAACAGATGGTTGTGAACCACTATGTGGTTTCTGGGAATTGAACTCAGGACCTCTGGAAGAGCAGTCAGTGCTTTAAATCTCTGAGCCATCTCTCCAGCCCCAGAAAGAACCCACTTTTGGACAAGAGATTAGGAATAGATCTTTGGAGTTTTTTTCTAGGTATATAGGAAGCTGTTTCATGTAACCACCCTAGTCAGTGGACTATGGTAGGAACTGACCATGCAGAGCTCCTGGGGAGTGGTGAGACGTTTAAGTGAGTTCAGTGTATTAAAGCCATTAGGACTGGATGTAGGTAGTAATTACTCCTGTGTTTCTATCAGAATGCCGACATGCTTTTCTTCCCAAACAGCTGAAATTCCTGGCCTGTGCTTCCTTCAGCAGGTGTCATTGAGCATCTTTCTGCTCAGTGGAACTGCTTCAGTAATGAGGGTTTGTGAGCACAGGCATTGAAGCGCCTGTTTGAATGGCCCTCCCTTCCTTCCTTGCGCTGGGAGTCCCCGAGCGTGAAGTAATAGTGTGAGAGCTCTCGAGAAGCCATGGCATCCTGACACTTGTCTTCTCTCTTAGGCAACAGTTACAGCACTCCACAAATCAGCTCGCCAAGGAGACAAATGAGTTGCTAAAGGAATTAGGGTCTTTGCCCCTACCCTTGTCTGCATCAGAGCAGGTAGGTATCTTCTGTTTTGTTTATTAATAGAAAAGGACTTTATTCTGATAGAGTAGTGGGATGTGGAACAAAAGCTCTAGGAGGGCTCTGGTCTTGATAGATTTCTTTGAACTATAATTTCCTTACCACGTGCTTTAGTTTCAGTTCTGTTGTGATAAACTACTACAACAAAAAGCAACCTAAAGGAAAAGGTTTGGTTTTTTGTTTTGTTTTGTTTTGTTGGTTTTTTTTTAGTTCACAATTCCAGGTTACAGTCTATTGTGGGAAAATCAAGGTAGCAGAACTTGAAGGCACTGGTCACATCTCATCCGCAGTCGAAGGAGAGAGAAATGAGTGCTTGCTTGTTCTTTTCCACATGTGTGCCCAGCTCTGCTTCTCCACCCTCCCACAGTTCACGATCTCCTGCCTAGGAAGTGATGCTGCCTACGGTGGGTTGGGTCCTCCTACACTAATCAGTTAAGGCAGTCTCCCGTAGATGTGCTAATAGGACAACCCAATGTAAACAGTTTCAAGTAATTATAGGTTTGGTAACGATGACCATTGAAGTTAACCACACTACCTATACAGAAAGGCAGCATGACTATTGTGGAAATAATGTATGTACCAGGTTTAGCAAAGTGCCTGGCACTCAGCATGTACCGAGTGTATAATGGTTATTGCTATTATTAATAATATATTACAATGTATTTAGCCAAAGAGGAATCTCAGTGTTTGCATCGCTGTGGACTTTGGTATCAGCTGTGCTTGCAGGCTGGGTCCTTAGATTGCTTTGTGCCTCATATCTATATTTTCAGTTAAACATCTTTCATATTTTGCAGTCACTTCTGTATCTCACCAGAGGTCACCCATAGGTCTTCGGGTAAAGGATGCCCAGGGAAGAATTGCCTTTCCCGGCTGGAGATGCTCTGTAGTTGAGTGCTTGTGTACAGTGCGTTCGTACAGCCTTGGGCTTGATCCCCAGCATCACTGACAAAAAGCCATTGTAGTGAGTGTCTGAAGTGTATCTTACCAATAAAAAAAATCATGAGTCAGAAATTGGGGTAAAAACCTGAAAGATCAAAGAAGCAAGGGAACAGCCACGGTCGCTTCCTACCTCTTCAGTTCCTCCATCCAAAAGGGCCAAGATCCCCTCTCAGCCCTGCCTTACCACTTCCTGTATGCTGTCTGTCCTCAGTCCTCCAAACCTCCATGGGCAGCTAGTGTCTAGCTCTGCCCTCTGACTCCAAGCAAGCTTTATTAGTCAGAACACAATGAAAATATCACACACCAAGTGTGCTCTGGACACCACTATGTGGCTCCCTCAGCATTTGCTTCTGCTGATACTTGAGTGATGGACGGGCAGTCTCCCTTCTCTCCAGCTTCTCCAGCTTGCTCCCCCATCATCCCTTTCCTTCTCCAGCTGTGCACTGAAGAAGTACACATTTGCCGATGCTGGTAGTTTTCCTGGTAATGAAAAGGAAGTCTAGAGGCCTAAAGCAGGCAGAGCATTGTAAGTGCTTAAGAATTAAAGAGCCCAAGCGAAGTATAAATAGAAAGTTAGCTCTGCCACCAAAAACTTCAACTAATGTGTTCCAAAGCCAAAGACAAGTATATTTTTGGACTATAAATGCTGTTACTCCTTTCCATTAGCCTGAATCATTAAGAATACAAAATAGAGCTGCAAACATGCTCTCTCAGTGAAATACAATTCCACTTCTTCCCTGTTGTGCTGACTTTCCTTTGCCTTTCCATATCTAATGTGGCTCCGCCCATCACTAACCTCCTCACCAGTTCCCTGTATCTTAGCCAGTACATCCTGCTTTTTGTCAGTGACCAGTTCCTCTGACCTTTTTTGGAGTCCCTTTCTTTCTTTTCTTTCTTTCTTTCTTTCTTTCTTTCTTTCTTTTAAGATTTTATTTATTTATTATGTATACAATATTCTGCTTCCAAGTATGTCCGCCCATCAGAAGAGGGCACCAGATCTCATAACGGATGGTTGTGAGCCACCATGTGGTTGCTCAGGACCTCTGGAAGAGCAGTCAGTGCTCTTAACCTCTGAGCCATCTCTCCAGCCCATCTTTCTTTTCTTTTCTTTTTGTTTGTTTGTTTTTTGTTTTTCAAGACAGAGTTTCTCTGTGGCTTTGGAGGCTGTCTTGGAACTAGCTTTTGTAGACCAGGCTGGTCTTGAACTCACAAAGATCCTGCCTCTGCCTCCCAAGTGCTGGGATTAAAGTTGTGTGCCACCACCGCCCAGCTCAGGAACCCCTTTCTTTCAAGACAGTATTTCACTATGTAGCCCAATTTGCTCTAGAATTTGTGCCAATCCTTCCACCTCTGCCTTCTCATTGCTGGCTTCTAACACCTGGCTTTTTTGTTTTCCTTGATCCTCTTGCTTGACCTGTCGCTTCTGAAACTTATTCTTCCATGATGCTCTTCAGTTCTGTCCCCCAACTCCAATGGTGCTCAAGATGAGTGTCAGCCTTCTTCACTGTTTCTTCCCTGAAGTTGGCACACCCCAAAGTTCTGCTATTGATCCTCTGATTTCCTCACCTAACCCTTCTTCCCCAGGAGCCTCACTTAAAGACTCCAGTGCTGCCTTTATCATGAGGGCACTCAGATATTTCCCCGGATTTAGCTCCAAAGTCTTCAGGTCAATTGTGCTGCAAGCTGCTGTTGCCAATGCCTGATCTGTTCTCTCCAACTTATTTGTGGTGCTGGGAATGGAATCCAGAGCCCTGCATGTACTGGATATCTGATCTACCACTGAAGTGGTTATCCAGCCCTCAGCATGTCCTCTTGAATATTCTACCTCCCTATAAAGTGTAGTAATGGTCTTCTTCTGAATTCCTCATCCAAACTTATGAGATAAGTTGACTGACTATACCTATAGTCATAGAAATAATTTACACATAAGGGCTGGGTGCATATAGCTTAATAGTAGAGTGAGCACTTAGCATGTACAAGGTCTTTGGTTCCATCCCCAGCACAAGAAGAAAAAAAAAATTGTGCCTTTTGATCTAATCTCTAAGGGAAAAAAATCTGAAGGGGGAATAAATGTATCTGTTTTGGAATCAAGTGTAAATTACTATTACAATGGGACTCACGTTAGCTTTATTTATAGTCATTTAAAACTGGCAACAGTGGAAGGAATGTTTACCTAAAATTTACTAAAAACATACTCATAAGATGTATGTAATAAAGTTCATAATTGTAAAGAGTATAGTAAAACAGAAGGTGTTCATGATATATTTTAAAAATAGTACTTTGGGGCTGAGGGTAACTTAATAGTAGGGTGGTTGCTTGGTGTGTATAAGGCTCTGTGTTTGACCCAGTTAGTATTTTTTACTTATTTGTTTGTATATTGGCCTCTCTGTGTATTCCTGAGGGTCCTGGAACTCACTCTGTAGACCAGGCTGGCCTTGAACTCACAGAAATCCTCTTGCCTCTTCCTCCTCTTGCCTCTTCCTCCTGAGTGCTGGAATCAAAGGCATATACCATCACTCCCAGCTTCAGTAATTTTAGATGGCAAGGTTGGGGGTAATATTCCTTCCCTTCTTGCAGCAGTCTTCCTGCCTTTGCTTCCTGAGTGCTGGGATTACAGCCCACAGAATTTTTTTTTGGTGGGGGGAGGGCTGTGTGTAACAAGAATAATAAAAACCCAGAGACAGATATCGGGATTCAAGCTGACGGTCAGATAAGCAAAGCACCTGGCCACTAGCTCTTACCTCTACCTCACACTGAGAGGATGATCTGGCTAGCTGCATAAATCCTCAGACTGCAGTCCTAGACTGCTGCCCCTCCCCAATGTGGCTGGAGAATAAATCTTCCCATGAGACCCTTTGGTTCTTCTTTTTATACCTCCCTAGTGCTAGGATTAAAAGTATGTCATCCTAAGGGTTGAGATCACATTTGGTGAGCTGTTTCTCTTTAGGACTGGATCAATTTCATGTAGTTCAGTGTGGCCTTGAACTAACAGATCCAACTGCTTTTCTCGAGTCCTGGAATTAAAGCTGTCTGCCACCCCTGCCTGGCTCTGGCTAGCTAGTATGACTGCTAGGATTAAAGGTGTGTATCACCATTGCCTGGCTCTATGGCTTGTGGCTAGCTTTGCTTTCTGTACCCTCAGGCAAACTTTAATAAATCATAAGTAATATATCACCACAGCGGTGGTGTGAGTGTTTGTTTGTTTGAGACAAAGTCTCACTGTGTGACTCTGGCTGGCCTGGAACTGATTTTGTGTAGACCAGGCTGACCTTGCATTCACAGAGAGAGGTTCACCTGCCTAGTGCTGGGGTTAAAGGAGTGTCCATTGTGCCAGCCTGTTACAATGTTTTTAATGCAAAGATCAAAATCCCAGAAAGAAAGAAAAAATTCCTCACCTAAACTAGCTTTCAAGTATAGCCATCACTTTCTAAGTCATTCTTGATTTTACCCCTCTTCCTTCTTCTCTAGTTACTAAGTCATAATGTTTCTTAAATTCCTTTTTGTGATCCAATTACTGCCATTATATCCTCCTACCCACTAAACCTAGATTATTGCAGTAAGTTTTTTTTTTTTTTTTCACTTCTTCCTATTCCAGATGGCATGCTGTCACCATCTAATTTCTCCAAGTTAGTAGGATGTACTTGTCAGGTTGTGTTCCCTGCTCAGTTGCCATTGCTCTGTCCCTGAGAGGTGACTCCCGAATGCACTAGTTAGTTAGCCCTTTTCTGCTTTTCTAGTTTTATCTTCTCTTATTTATACACCTTTGGATCCAACCAAACTACCTTCTTTTTTTTTCTGTTGATAATTTTCTATCTTTATGACATGGGAAAATAAGCTAGTTTTTGCCATTAAAAAATAAACTATATTTAAAAAAGAATATTTAAGTCAGGCATGCTGGTTTAATCCGTGCACTGTGACTCTGTCATGGCTTTCTGTATCCTATGCACAAGTAGAGGGAGCCATTGCGAGTGGGATGCTGTTCCCACCCACGCTCTCTCAGTTTGCATTTTTTGAGAGATATGGGTAGTAAGCTTAGTAAGGTAGTCTCTAGGTAAATAAAGTGGGTTTTTTTTTTTTTGTTTTTTTGTTTTGGTTTGGTTTTTCGAGACAGGGTTTCTCTGTGGCTTTGGAAGCTATCCTGGAACTAGCTCTTTTAGACCAGGCTGGTCTCGAACTCACAGAGATCCACCTGCCACTGCCTCCCAATTGCTGGGATTAAAGGCGTGTGCCACCAACACCCGGCTAAAGTGGTTTTTAAGTTCTTGAAAAATTTAAAACTCAAAAAGAAAAGCTGTCAAGGAAAATAATGATGGTTTCGAGGAAAGCCAGTAACTGGATATAAAGGAATAGAGTTTCAGTGTTTTCACAAAAAATAATACCTTTAGATCCAGTCTGAGCTCAAAGGCCTTTGCAATGCATTTAGATTCTCCAGAGAACAAGTATAACAAATTGCAATTCCTTTTGAGTTATAAGATAAGTGACACCTCGGTCTCAGGTTCATAAATGTGCTTTGACCTGGTTCATAGGATTAACCTGGGATTTGGTTTAGGAAGGAACAAACTAGCTTAAGGAAGAGCCTATTTTGTAATAATTTTTATACTTTGAAATCTCTTGGATATATAATTGTGCTTTTATGCCGGGCGTTGGTGGCGCACGCCTTTAATCCCAGCACTAGGTAGGCAGAGGCAGGCGGCTCTCTGTGAGTTCGAGGCCAGCCTAGTCTCCAGAGTGAGTGCCAGGATAGGCTCCAAAGGTACACAGAGAAACCCTGTCTCAAAAAACCATAAAAATAATAATAATAATTGTGATTTTAAACGGGTATTAAAACCAAGTGATTCCGAGTTTGCTTGAAATTTCAAGTTCTTGCTTGATTTCTTCAGCGCCAGCAGAGGCTTCAGAAGGAGCGTCTCATGAATGACTTCTCGTCGGCCTTGAACAACTTCCAGGCTGTGCAGAGAAGAGTGTCTGAGAAGGAGAAAGAAAGTATAGCCAGAGCAAGAGCTGGGTCTCGTCTGTCTGTAAGTTCACTCCCAAGAGAAGGCCTTTGCAAGCCCAGAGTCTATCCCAGACGTGTCCCCTTTCCTTTTCCCACTACTGCCTTGTTCACTCTCCACCAAGTAACTCACCAGCTCGTCCTCTTCAGAGTGCTTCATGTTCTTGGGTCTAACTGAGGCAGATTTGCTTTCACCCATTTCATACTTGTTTCTTACTCAGGACAAATTGCCAGAGTCCTGTGGCATCTTATAGATGCTGTTAGAGTGGAGGGATGTCACTCCCTGGTCCTTTAGCTAAGGCAACTCTTGTTTTGTGTGTGTCTCTAGCATGTTTTTTTGGATAACAGCAGAGATAATGCCATCTGCTTTCTAGGCAGAAGACAGGCAGAGAGAGGAGCAGCTCGTCTCATTTGACAGGTAAAGAGTCACTCATTCAGCCTGCTGGATAGTTAATGTGACTTTACATCTTTGTGTCCATTATCATTATCATTCTTTTTTATGTTTATGGGGTTTTTGCTTACATATAATTCTATGCATCATGCAAATACCTGGTGCCCGCAGAGGCCAGAAAAGAGCTTCGGATCCTCTGGAACTGGAGTTTCAGATGGTTGTGAGCTACTATGTGGGTGCTGGGAATCAAACCTGGGTCCTCAGCTAGAGAAATCAATGCTCTTGACGGTTGAACCGTCTCTCCAGTTTCTTTATGAATATTTTTACTTTTTTAAAAAAAAATCACGGCTGGGTGTAGTGGTGCACACTCCTTTAATCCCAGCACTTGGAAGGCAGAGACAGGTAGATCTCTGAGTACGAGGCCATCCTAGTCTAGTTCTAGGGCAGCCAGGGCTACATAGTGAGACCCTGTCTCCTTGGAGATGAGGCAGGAGGATCAAGAGAGTTGGAAGACAGCCTACACTACAGAGCCTGACACTCAAGTAAGTAAATGGATAAATAAATAAATAGGGTTGGAGAGATGACTTTGTGGTTAAGAACACTGGCTACTTTTGCAGAAGACCAGGGTTTAGTTCCCAGTGCTCACAACTGTCTGCAGTCCAGTTCTAGGGAATCCAATGTTGTCTTCTAGCTACCAGGCAGCAGGTACACACATGGTACACATACATATGTGCAGACAAAATAAAGAAATCTTAAAAATAAATAAGATAACAAAATAGAGAATAAAGTAAAATAATGGGGCTGGAGAGATAGCTCAGCAGTTAAAAGCACTGGCTGTTCTTCCAGAGCACTGGGGATTCAATTCCTAGCACCTACATGATGGGTGGCTCACAACCCTCTGCACCTTCAGGTACAGAACTGTTGCCCTCTTCTGGCCACTCTGGGCATGGTACCTGAAGTAAGCTTCAGGCTAGCCAGGGAGGTCTCCGAAAATGGGGAACAGAATTACCTAGGAACTCGCTATGTAGACCATATCCATTAGTTTGGAACTTACGTGGCTTATTATAGATATGTATTCATCTCTTACATTATATTGTGGACACCTCAAAGCCTAAAGGACATGCTTTAAATATTATATATTTAAATAATATGATTTATACATATTGTTGAGAAAATGTGTAAGGGCTAGAAAGATGGCTCAGTGTGTAAACGCACATGCTGCCAAGGCTGACACCCTGGACACCATGGTGGAAGGGAAGAAATGACTCCTAGAGGTTGTCCTCTGGCCTCCACTTACTTGTACATGTGTGTGCACATACAATTAAAATAAATGTACTGGGCATGGTGGCTCATGCCTTTAGGGAGGCAGAGACAGGTGGACCTCTGAGTTCAAGACTATGGTTTACATAATGAGTCTATGTAATTCCCCCCTGTTTTTGGAGACAGGTTACTATGTAGCCCTGGCTGGCCTGAAGCTTGCTTTGTAGGCCTGGCTGGCCTTCAACTCAAAGAGATCCAACTGCCTCTGTCTCCTGGGTGCTGGGATTAAAGGTGTATACTACCACACCCAGCCTATACATGTAATGATTTTTTAAAATTTGCTTTATTTTTATTTTATGTGCCTTGGTGTTTTGTCTGTATGTATGTCTGTGTGAGAGTGTTAGATCTTTTGGAATTGTATTACTGTTTCAGACATTTGTGAACTGCCATGTGGATGCTGGGAATCGAACCTATGTCCTCTGGAAGAGCAGCCAGTGCTCTTAACCACTGAGCCATCTCTTCAGCTCATAATGATTTTTTTTTAAAGAGTCAATTATATAATATTGAATTTTCCAAGTATTTTTTAATTTAATAAATAGCACACTTTTCTTCTAAGTACCTGAAAATATCAAGCTGCAAAAATTTTATTAGCTTTTAGTTTGGCTTTCTGTTAAATGGGGTCTATCCCAAAACAGTCTCAAGGAACTTCCTAGGAAGCTGTTTGGTGGCTGAGTCTGTTTTCCTCCATTCATTTACTGCTCCTTTACACAGTTTGTTCTTTGAGAGTGCCCTGGAGAGCTGGTCAGTACACTTCATTGAGTTTGAACCTGCGGATACTTCCCTTGTCTGGAAAAAGTATCCCTAAGTGGAAAAGGCAAGGTGGCCTGTCCTCCATAATTCTGCCTCATCTCAGTTTTGCCTATGACTGAAATTTAATTTTCTTGGTATTACATCCTTGTCTCTGAATTTTGTATTGCTAGTAGAAGAGTTGGGTCCTGGGTAATGTCTGTGTAGTTCCTGCTGTCAGCAGAGATGTAGTTATATCTCCTCGTACCTTAGAGAGAAGGAATCAACTGGAGTGCTTGTCTCCCTGTAGCCATGAGGAGTGGAACCAGATGCAGAGCCAGGAGGATGAGGCGGCCATCACTGAGCAAGACCTGGAACTTATTAAAGAGAGGGAAACGGCGATTCGGCAGCTAGAGGTAAAAGGCAGCCTGTGGCTTTTGTTTGGCTTGGGTGTCTGCAGGTATCTGGAGTGTTTTTGCTGGATTAATATGAAAAGGGCTGGATTGAGTCTTTGTACTTTATATTATCTGTCCCTTTAGTCATGACAGAATTGAATTACTGCTATGTGCTGCTGGCCCGGGCACTCAGGAGCACCCAGATTCTTCCTCAAACTCCACTTAGCACATGGTCTCCAAGGAAACAGCAAGGCAGATAGTACTGTGTTGTTTCCTAGAACTTTCCTCATCTCAATAGCAGTCTTCAGGTTAAGTAGGATTCTGTGGAAAGCTCCTTTTAATAGGCAGTCCAAAGTTCTTTTGGTTTTGTTTGTTTGTTTGTTTGTTTTTGTTTATTTTTTGGTTTTTCGAGACAGGGTTTCTCTGTGTAGCTTTGGAGCCTATCCTGGCACTCGCTCTGTAGACCAGGCTGGCCTCGAACTCACAGAGATCTGCCTGCCTCTGCCTCCTGAGTGCTGGGATTAAAGGCGAGCGCCACCACCGCCCGGCTAGGCCAAAGTTCTTGCTCTATTTTTGTACATTATGAAGTCCAATTCTGGGTCTAGAGAGAACAACCAGTGGTTACAACACTGGTTGTTCTTTCAAGAGGACCCGTGTTCAATTCCCAGCACCCACATGGCAGCTCCTAACTGTCTGTAACTCCAGTTCCAGGGTACCCAACACCCTTATACAGACATACATGCAGGCAAAACACCAGTGCATATAAAATAAATAAATAGTATAGTGTCCAATTCCAAGTATAGCTCTTGTCACTTCAGTGGATCAGAGTTGGAGCCTTTTTTGATGTGGGATTGAGAGAGAGTTTTGTAGACTGTTCTTGGCTCCCTGAGCTCCACCATGATCAAGGTAACATATAAAAACATTTTTTAAATGCTGTTAAAGGTATGCTCATATGTTGCAGTGTTCTGAATGTGTATTGTCCCAGTTGGTGGAATGTTTAGGAGGTGTGCTTTAAACTTTAAAAAATTTTAAATTTAGTTTATTATTTATTTATTTTGTTTATGGGTGCTCCACTTAGCACACTCCACTTAGGGGATCAGAAGAGGGAGTCAGATCCCTTGGGATTAGAATTCTGGGTAGTTGTGAGCTGCCTTGTGTGTGTGTGTGCTGGGAACCGAACCTGGGTCCTCTATAAGAGCAATAATTGCTCTTAACCACTGATTCATGTCTCCAGGCTCTAAAAGAAAGCATTTAATTGGGAGCTTGCTTACAGTGTCAAATGATGAGTCCATGACCATCATGACGGGGAGCATGGCAATAGGCAGGGAGGCATGCCATTGCAGCAGTAGCTGAGAGCTTACATCTGATCCACGAATTGGAGGCAAAGAGAGAGTGAGACTGGGCCTGGCATGGGCGCTTAGAATCGCAAAGCCCACTTCCAGTGAAACACCTCCTCTAACAAGGCTTTACCTCCTGATCCTTCCTAAATAGTCCACCAACTGCGACAATACTCAGACCACACACCCTATGAGCATACTTTTAACAGGCTAATCCCTTGCTCTTCTGCCTGACATGTGGCAGGCCATAGCTTATTACCTATGAGTAAGCAAAAACCTGAACCTGGAGAATCTTATTTCCATCACCGCCAGGAAAACTGCAGTTTAGCTCACCAAGCTGACTTGTCGTTAAACTTTTTCAGTCAGCTGCAGGTTTCCAAATGCTGTTGTCCTTTCACCCTACCAACTCTTCTCCACCGTCTAAGCTCTTTGTCAGTCAGTTGAAAGCTGTTTATATGGAGCATCATCCCAGTGACAATAGAAGCCAGTAGTCCTCACATAGATCCGGAATCAGTCCTGGGGGAACCAGCCCCTGGGTTGTGTGTCTTCCACTTGTTCCCCAGGCAGCACAGTCCTATAGAAGCCATTTGAATTCTCTGGTCTAAAGTCCTGGTGGTCACTGAAATTGGTCTGCTCCACGTAGAGCTGTGACACTGAGCACACTCCAGCACTCCAGTTTAGGCCTGAATGATCTTACTAGTTCTCAGGTAACATGTGCTGTTAGTTTTTTTGATGGGTGGGTTTCATGCCATCTGTTGTACAATATTAAGTAAACAGTAATAGAAGGTTTTCTGTTCATGGGAAAAGTTGCAAAGCATATGTGATATATTAATCTTTAGGGAAGGAAAGGAAAGAAATCTAACATGTTGCTTAATATGAGTTAATTGGTTTTTTGTCTTCCTTAGGCTGACATTTTGGATGTCAATCAGATATTTAAAGATTTAGCCATGATGATCCATGACCAAGGTGACCTGATAGGTACGTACTCATTAATACCTCTAACCTTGGGGTGAATACAAAGATCAAGATGGGTCACCTGTAGGCTTAACATTTAGTAATACCTTTTTTTTTTTTTTTTTTTTGGTTTTTTGAGACAGGGTTTCTCTGTGTAGCTTTGGAGCCTATCCTGGCACTCGCTCTGAAAACCAGGCTGGCCTTGAACTCACAGAGATCCACCTGCCTCTGCCTCCCGAGTGCTGGGATTAAAGGCGTGCACCACCAATGCCCGGCATATCATACCTTTTTTTTTTTAAGTTACGGAATTCATTTTCTTATAGTCGACTGTAGAGGTCAAAGGGCGCACACTGTTGTCAGCCCTGTTCACTTGTTATAGCCCATGAATCTGTTAGAGAAAGAGCTGTAAGCACCCAGCTTTCAGCTCCAGACTCTTACAGGATTGTGAGGTTAGTAACTTTTAAAAGCTTTTTAATGTGGAAATAATATCAAGTTTATAAGAAGCTGCAAAATAAGATGTGCATTTGTGGCTCACACCTTTAGTCCCAGCACTCGGGAGGCAGAGGCAGGTGGATCTCTGTGAGTTCGAGGCCAGCCTGGTCTACAGAGCAAGTTCTGGGACAGGCTCCAAAGCCACACAGAGAAATCTTGTCTTGAAAAAACAAACAAAAAAGCTGCAAAATAAAAATAATATGAGGGATCTTTTATATCACTAGCCAGGATTTTCCTGTTGCTTAGCATTTTTCTCCACGTACTTTCTGGTGTGCCCCCATCCGTGTAGAGATACATAAATGTACATAAGTGCATGTGTAGAGATGCATAAATGTACATAAGTGCATGTGTAGAGATGCATAAATGTACATATGTGCATGTGTAGAGATACATAAATGTACATATGTGCATGACTCCCATACAAGTTTGTTTTCTCTTGAACCCTGTATAGGTGAATTGCATTCTTAGTAGTCTCATGCTATTAAATATTTCAGTATTCCTGAATGGAGCTGTTCTCTTATGAAGTTAGAAACTTGTAGCTGAGAGTGGATAGTGGTACCTATAACCTTGGCATTCAGGTGGAGGCATAAGGGTCAGGAGTTCAAGGCTAGTGTCAGCTACGTGGTGTGTTATTGAGGATGTTGAGGCCATCTTAGGCTACATGACACCTATCTCAAAAAATTAAATGAAAAGTAAATTTTTATTTTTATGGCTGGATGATAATAGTGAAACTAAGGCCTTGGCATCAAATCTGTTCGGGCTGGAGAGATGGTGCAGCAGCTGAGAACAGTGGCTGCCCTTCCAGAAGACTCAGGTTTGATTCCCAGCACCTACAAAGCAGCTCACAATCATCTGTAAGTCCAGTTCTAAGGGATCCAACTCCCTCTTCTGGGCTCCAGGCATGCACATGGTACACAGACATATATGCAGATAAAACACCCATATACATTAAAAAAAAGAAATTGTTTTGTTTGCAGTACTGAAATTCCTGAATGTGCTAAAATGAAATTTTTTTTTTTTTTTTTTTTTTTTTTTTTTTTTTTACAGATAGCATAGAAGCCAATGTGGAAAGCTCAGAGGTGCATGTGGAAAGAGCCACTGATCAGCTGCAAAGAGCTGCTTATTATCAGGTAAAAGTCAGTGTCTCTATGCTATAGACTCAGTGAACGACTAGGCTGTGCTGACACACTGCAGGCAAGCGCTGCCTTTTGCCTGGGTTTAAGCTGGAGGAAGGCAGCCATAATTTGCAGCCCCAGTCCCATTTTTAGTTTTTATCTTTGCAGCCAGATCACCAGCACCATCAAATCTTGAGTAACTTATCCAGAAGCTGTGTGGACTAAAACTCATCTCATGAGCTAGCTTGATGCCTAAATCTAGCATGATGCTAATCTTACACACTAAACAGTTGGGCTACAGGGAGAGTAGCACTTCAGAAGCACCTGTGCTGACTGTTGCTCAGAGCATGGATGTCTTAGAGTCAACTGTGACAGCTCTGTGTAAACAGGGCTTAATCATTATGGATTAAGCTGTGCCCATGAAGGGGATTCTTCTAGCTTTATGACTTTTATGAGTCATCTTCGTTTTTTGTTTTATGAGATAGGGTCTTACTGTGTAGTCCTGACTGGCTTGGAACTCACAGAGATCCTCCTGCCTCAGCCTCCTATTTGCTGGATTGAAGGCATGTGCCACTGCACCCAGCTCTTTCTCTGAGTCTATAATAGCTCAGGTTTTGGATATTGAAAACAAAGTCCTCATTTTCCCTCATTTAGTGTTATTTAGCTCTTTAGAAGTCGCTTGCATTTTAGTAATTTTCTGTATTCCTAGGGTAGCTGTATTTTACCTGGGAATATGCTTGAGAAGTTGTGTTTCACAATAATATTTCCTTGAAAAATTTGTGCTAAATATTAAACAAGAAAAACATCAAATATACAGCATGATCCAGTTATAACAAACATATAACAAACCAGCAGTGTGCATAGATGAGCAAGCAGAAGGAACACAGGTCTTCAACCCAGCATCAGGAGGCAGAGGCAATAGATCTTTGTAGATTAAGTTAACTTGGTCTACAGAGAGAGAGCTCCAGGTCAGCCAAGCCTACATAGTAAGATTCTATCTCAAAAACAAACACACAAAACAAAACTCCGAGAGCAAAAAGAAATAGAATGATATGTTAACAGTCTTATCTATGGGTGATTGCTTTCTGTCTGCTGCCTGTATGTTTTCCAGTGAATGTACTATTTGTGCTAAGTGTAAAGTAGTTATTAAAATACACAAGGCCTAGGGAGACGGCCTGGCCTTCAAAGCCTCTGTAACTCTAGCCATGGATGGTAGAGGTGGATCCAGACATGAGACAAGTCAGATCAGCAGATGATATGTAGAACAAAGGCATAGTCCTTTGCAAAATTGTATTTGTGAATCACGTAACTTGCATTACTATTTAGAACTGGTGACTTTGGATTTTTAAGATGTTTGCATATTTGTGTACGATAAGAGTTAATTATATGCTGGAGATGTGACTTTGATATTAGAGCATGTTCCCAATGTGTACAAGGACCTGGGTTCAACACCAGCAGAGAAATAGAACAGTGTTATTATGAATTCAAGGAGGCAGATTGTGATGCACACTTGGACTCTTAGGTATAAAAATTTTTACTTGTTTCATGAGTGTCTTTAAATATTTCTTTCCTCAGAAAAAGTCTCGCAAGAAGATGTGTATCCTCGCGCTTGTCCTGTCTGTGATTCTTACAGTCTTGGGAGTGGTTATCTGGTTTGCTTCTAAATGAGGTGCGGTTGCCTCAGAGCCTTCTCCTGCTGAGTTGTTTTCAAGGGCAAGTGCTTGATGGAGTCTTGCCAGAACAAACTGACCACAGAAGAGAGCGTGTACCAGAGTGTCCTGTGATAATTTAGCTAGAAACTAACTACTAACTAGTCCTTGGAATTAGCGACCCATGGAGACAGTATTTATCCATTTATGCATACATTCTATTGATTTCTCAGATAAGGAATTAACTTATGTGTATTTCCCTTTCTCTTGTATTTTGATTGCCCTTTATCCCAAGTGTTTATTGACAGTTCCATTGCGGATGTTCTTTTTGACAGGTGACACTACAGTCTCATAATATTGTTTTTTGTATATATACAAACTCTAACTTTTTATGAGCATCTGAGATAAATTTACTTCTGGAGCCAGCCCATTGAAGTCTGAGAAACTGTACAATATGCCAGCAATTTTTATTTAAACATTTCAATTTGAGTTTCCAAGGGGTCTGTTCTCTGTTTTGCAAGATTTTGGCACTGTATGTAAGTGGGGAATAAGAACACTGCACCCATGACTTCAGATGAAATGAGAAGGGCCTGTCTGTGAGAGTGGCCCCATTGCCAGGGTGTGTATGAAAGTCTGGGTTTAAGTTAAACTGACTTTATTGTCTGCTGGTATCGTTTATAGAGTCCATCCCCGCACACTAAGTCATCCTGCTCCTGTTTTAAAGAGGTTTGCTTCATTGACAATGTTACAATCAGATGGGCCCCTCTTCCACCTGTCTGCATAGAAAGGGAGAATTAGGCACAGCATGATTTTGGAAAGCAAATAGGGATCGTTTGGAATGGTTCTCTTGTTGTTCATTTGTGGCTTACATTCCTGGTGAATGATAAATGTTGCTGTCAAAGGCTGTTCCCGAGCCTTATAAGTGTTGCCTGGCTTTGATGGCAAGATTTTAAAATTTAGACTGAAGTGGGGTTTGAAACTTAGGTCTGTGAACATATTGATAAAGCAAAGGTTCCTTTTTGTAAATAATACTGGTTTAGTGATGTTAGACTTAGCCTAATTTATGAACAAGAGATCAAACTCAGCGTAGTGTTAGACAAAAACAGTTTTAATAAAAGATTGTTGTCTTGTAATATAAACGTTGTCCACTGCCCTTTTTCACAGGCCTAGAACAGGTAGAGTGTAATTGGTTTAGGCATTCAGATAAATGTGAATCGAGGCTGAAAATGTCAGCTCATCCTTCACTGAATTGGAGGATTTGGCTACTGTTGGTATATTTATGTTTATTTCTTCTATTCCTCTTAATGTTACTTAATCTTGTTCTATACTAATGTGATCGGTAGGGAAATAAGGGCCCAAATGCATAAGTTTCTTTGCACTTTTGCACCATCCCTCCTACTTAATACAAATAAACATTTAAAAGCTTTTGTAGTTATTTTTATGAGTTAACATCCTCATGACGTAGGTATTGGGTAATGTGCTGCCATGAGAAAAACGGACCAGCAAGGAGACTGGAGAACAGGTAAGGATTGACTTGGGAGTGGAATATGCATTGCTGCCTTTCTTTGAAAAACAGGACAGAGAGAAAACTGGTTTGCACATACTTCTAATCCTATTACCTGAGGGGACAAGACAGGAAGGTTGTGAGTTCAAGGCCAGGCTGGGATACATAAAAGGTTTGAGATTAGGCTCTGTGTTTAAGGAGAGGGAGAGGAAGAGAAGACAGCTGTCTGCATGACATAGTGGCCCGCATGGCAGCTTCAGAGAAGCACCTGTTCTCAAGTTGTAGCTGGACTTGGATACGTCATTTATGACAGATCAAGAAATAAAAAAGGAATCTGTTTTGGCAAACTATTGGGAACAACAAAGTGGCTGTAATTCCGTAATACTGTGTCATTGATTGAGTGGTGGTTATCATGATGGCTATGGGAACAAGTGGGAACTTGGTCTAGAGTTTGCAGCAGTTGTCAAGAAGCTCTAATAAACCTATTCCTAGAATACTGCTTTGTGCCTGATTATCTTTGGAGGCACCATGGTCTGGGACAGTGGCTCTTGCCTTCATATTAACAATGTGTAAAAAGTAGTGAAGCTGTGGTCCCCATACCCAGAGACTCAGCATTCATTAGTTTGCTCTATTCCCCAGACACAGGAATCTGTTAAAGCTCCACATGCATACTATGTGTAGCCAGTGCTAGAATCATGGTGTGCAAGTCTAAAACTAGACTGTAGTCTAAAAGACCTGAAGACTCCTAGCCCACCAGTAACTTGTTGAGGGTATTTAGACAAGTCACTTAGCCCATAAGCCCCATGGTTTTTCTCAATTGCTCTTTTTTCTTTCCTTTTCTTTTTTTTTTCTTTTAAAAAAACAACAAACTAATTCTCTTATTAATCCTTTGGATTTCACAACATGCACCCCAGTCCCCTTCATTCCCTAGTCCCTCCATAGCTATCTACCCTGCACCCTTGCAGTGTCCCCACCCAAAGGAAAAATTTTTAAAGTAAAAATACTAACTCAAACAAACAGCAACAGCAAAACACTTCGCTCCTCAGTCTTTCCGCCTCTCCATCATCTCTGTTCATCTCAGTGGCACTGGAAGCTGCAGTGTGTCATGCAGTGTACCCTTTTGTCTCAACAACTTGCAAATGTTCATTGTAATGAGCTGTTGGTCTGGTTCAAGGCCTCTGGCTTCTGATACTCCATCAATATTGGACCCTCACCTAACTCCTCTCAGAGATCCTGCTGTTGCCCAAAGTCATGGAAATCCTGTGACTTTGCACCAGTCCCTTCACAAGTTCCAGCAGGTCATGGATGGGGTCGATATTGGGGTGGGCCAGTTCAAAGCACTGGATATGGGCCTGGGTGAATTGGTCAGGTCTTTCTTCTTCTTCTTCTTCTTCTTCTTCTTCTTCTTCTTCTTCTTCTTCTTCTTCTTCTTCTCCTTCTCCTTCTCCTTCTCCTTCTCCTTCTCCTTCTTCTTCTTCTCCTTCTTCTCCTTCTCCTCCTCCTCCTCCTCCTCTTCCTCCTCCTCCCTCTTTCCTTCTCCTCCTCCTTCATTTTTTTTTCTTTTTTTACTATAAAATCCCTAAGACAACAGATATATAGTCTGAACATACAAATTGTAGATATATTTCTGTATTCCTTTCCATTTTGCACCTCCTGTTTAGCTTCCTGAATTAAAATTGAAATGTTCTAGGAGTACTGGGTACTATCTAGCACTCCTTAGAAAGAAAAGTAATAGATTTTTAAATGCTATTTTATGTATATGAATACTTACACTGCATGTATGGCTGTGTACCATGGGCATGCCTAGAGCCCTCAGTGTTTAGAGCAAGTGTCAGATCCCTGGAACTGTTGGTAGAGACCATTGTGAGTTACCATATGGATGCTGGGAACTGAACCTTGATTCTCTGCATGAATAACACACACTCTTGACTGTTGAGCCATCTTTTCAGCCCCTCTAGCAGTCTCTTAAAATGAGTTAGTGCTATGTAGAGTAAATAAAGAGCATTCTGGCAACTTCATTGTAATGTTTCACAATAAGAATATGATAAATATTAAATTGGTGTTCTCAGAGCAGAGTATGTTCATAGTGTTCATGTGTGCATACCCACACACATAACACTTTATTTTTACTAACGGAGTGCTTCCCACTCAGTGTGAAGTCGGTAATAAACTCATACTGCTTTGTACCATTGGGCAGAGACATTAAAGTGAAATTACCAGGCAAGCATGGTAATATATACCATGAATCCTAGCACTCAGGACATAGAGACAGATGGATCTCATTGAATTCAAGGCCAGCCAGGCCTATAACAGCAAGTTCCTACCATCCAGGGCTATGTAATAAGACCCTGTTTTTATTTTGTTTGTTGGTTGTTTTTTTTTTTTTTGTCTTTTTATTTTCTTTTAAGGAAGGGAAAGATAAATTACCATTCAATCTGTAAAAAATAAACCCAATAAGCCCCTCATATTCCACTATTTGGTTTGTTTTGTATTTTCTCTTCAGAGACTCTTATCATGGGAATGAAGCTTTTGCTTTTGGTCACTTAGTACAGACCCATAACTCAAGTGACATCTCAGTCTATTCTGTGTCCTAGAGCTGGGAATTCCCTGCTTTCTTTCCTGCTTTTTCAGATATGAATAATGTAGTCCTAGCCTTCCAAGGATTCTTTCCAGTATTGCTTTCTAGCACTACAAAGTACAACTACTTTAAACTCTCTATCTAGCTAAGACATAATTTAGAAGGGTGTGTGTATGTTTTTTTTTTTTTTTTTGTGTGTGTGTGTGTGTGTGTGTGTGTGTGTTTGCCTCACACGTATGTGTGTGTACCTGGTGCCCAAGGAGGTCAGAAGAGGGCATCAGGTTCCCTGAAACTGGAGTTACAGACTGTTGTGAGCCACTGTGTGGATGCTAGGAATCAAATTGGGATCCTCTGCAAACCACTACTGAGCCATCTCTCCTGTTAAGCATTTATTTATTTAATTTTTTTCCCCAAGACGGGGGTTTCTCTGTGGCTTTGAAGGCCGTCCTGGAACTAGCTCTTGTAGACCAGGCTGGTCTCGATCTTACAGAGAAATGCCTGTCTCTGCCTCCTGAGTGCTGGGACTAAAGGCGTGCACTACCACTGCCTGGCAAGCATTTAATTTTTAAAGAGTAAACTTAGGATGGGCATGGTGGCACACACCTTTATTAATCCCAGCGCTTGTGAACCAGAGACAGGTAGATCTCTGAGTTTGAGGCTAACATAGTTGACATACTGAAATCCTGTCTGAAAACAAGAAAGGAAAGAATAAATTTGTGAGCTGTCAAAACAGTTTAGCAGAGCTGGGTGGTGGTGACACATGCCTTTAATCCCAGCACTCAGGAGGCAGAGGCTGGCAGGACTCTGTGAGTTCGAAGTCAGCCTGGTCTACAGAGTGAGTGCCAGGACAGGCTCCAAAGCTACACAGAGAAACCCTGTCCTGAAAAACCAAACCCAAACATACAAACAAAAAAAAACAGTTTAGCAGATGAAGACATCTGTGGGGATGCCTGGTGTAACAAGAGGAATAGATTGGTAATGACATAGGCTTTGGAGGTGGATCATGATTAAAGACCTTACCTGTGGAGAAATTAGAATAATGCCATAGTGAGGTTTTGTTTCATATTTTAATTATATCTGAGAAAATATCCTTTCTAAATTTTTTGTATGTAGGAGGGACTGAGGTAAGCTCATATGTATGTGTAGGTATGCATATGTGTGGTGAGTAGAGATATATGCATATATTCTTGCACAGATCATGGGAGAACCTTGAGAGTTCTTCCTTGGGTGTCTGTCATTTTCTGTTTGAGACAGGGTCTCAGTTTGCCAAATAGGTGAGAATAGCTGGTCAGTGAGCTTCTAGGGCTTTGCTTGTGTCTGCTTCCCATCCTTCAGTCATTGAAATTACAGACATACACCACCAATCCTGGCTGTTTTACTTGGGTTTTTGAGGTCCTAAACTTAGCTCCACTTAGCAAGGCAAGTGCTTTTACTGTGACTGAACAGGCTTGAGGTGCTTTGCATGTGGATGTCATTTGTCGAATATTTGAGCCTTTAGTGCCAGCAAGCTACCATGCTAGATCCTGTTACGCTTATGTATTATTCCTATGGAGCTATCTGGGAGAATTATTGCAGCCCCTTTCTGGTTTTTATATTTTTGTTTTATATATGTATATGGGTTTTTTGCCTGCATGCATGTCTGTGCACTGCATACATGCCTGGTGCTGGGGAGTCTTAGAAGAGGGAGTTGGATCCCCCTGAATTGGAGTTACAGATGATTGTATGTGTGTGTGTGTGTGTGTGTGTGTGTGTGTGTGTGTATTTACTATGCTTCATTCAAAACATTTTTGCAACTCTGATTCTTCTCAGAAATAATATCCTGTGATATACAATAAGGAGTGATAGGATTATTTGCTTGCCTGGAGTCAATTATTTTTAAAAATGTAGTTTATTAGCCAGGCAGTGGTGGCACAGGCCTTCAATCCCAGCACTCGGGAGGCAGAGGCAGCAGTGCAGGTGCTGGGAATCAAACCTAGGTTTTCTGCACAAGCAACAATTGTTCTTTATGGCTGAACCATCGCTAGACCTCCTTAAATTTTTATTACGTTTATTTGTTTGGGAAGGGCATGGCCTGTCACACAATGCATGTAGGAGTCAGAGAACAACTTGCAGGAGTCTGTTCTCTCTTTTCACTGTATGGTTCAAGGAACCAAACTCAGGTTGTCAGCATTGGAAGCAAGCACATTTACCTGCTGGGCCATCTTGTCAGCCATTGTGTACTCTTAATGATTCAAGAAGTGGAGACAAAGGTAACCTGCCCACGATCAGACAGCTTGTAATCATGGTCGTCTTGAGTACTCATACTTGAGACCACCATTATACAGTACGCATAGTCTGTGCATCTG